CGAGCCGTGGAAAGGGTATATTCTTGGAACAGATGAAGAAGTTTGTCGAATGGCTACAGAACGCCGAAGAGGGTATGTGTTGTCATCAATTGATCCATTGATTTGCACGAATCACTAACCATTGGTTTCATTGAGTGGATTAGTAATCATTTAATTGTTTTGTTTTAATCGCTAATAGAGTCGGAAAATTCGGATTAATATATAATTGAATTGAAATTTCTAATGGATTTACGGATAAATGAGAAGTCGATTAACGGATAATAACAATGGAAACGGATTTTTATTACTATTAAAAGCATACAATTTAAAAGACATAATTAATTAATTAGTAAAATGATTGTAACAAACATTATATAAGACATCAAAACAAACCAAACACTTAATTATTATTATTAAAACTGTTTTACTCTCTATTATTATTCTCATTAATTAAAGCGATTTATACTTGAAGTGAAAAAACATTTTTCAAAATACATTTAAATGTAACACAAAAACAAAATCTACTGTTTTATTGTCAGAAAACAAATAACTATTTTTATATAAAAAGCGATTAATTAATTGAAATTAACAAAACAAGCGTAAAAAATGGCAACAAATTTCTATATAGTTATCATTGAATTTATCAAATCATACGAATAATTCAAATCAAGTGTTTTATTTCATTGATAGCTGTTTTCGCTGTTTGTTTTGTTAACAATGTTTTTGTGTTTAAAACGACAAGTTTTGGTAATTCTTTAGGTTTTTATGATTTAATGATTGTATTTGTGTTTAAAGTTTATAATTATTATAAGTTTCCCTTCAATTGCTCACACGTTTCGGTGAATTGTAATCAAATTTTGTGTTTTAATTATTAATTATATAAAATTATTTTTTTCAAATACATTATTGAATACAAGATTATATTTTTGTTCACAATTCATAATTTAGTTTCTCATTTCTCTCTCTCTCTCTCTGCACTTACTCTCATTATATGTGTGAATGAATTGGTGTTTAAATGAAATGATAATTAATTGTATTTGTAATTTTGCATTTAAACAGCGGATGTGTTGAGCGAAGACGTGATCCTAAGTTGGTTCAAAAAGGACCACTCGAGCCGTGGAAAGGGTATATTCTTGGAACAGATGAAGAAGTTTGTCGAATGGCTACAGAACGCCGAAGAGGGTATGTGTTGTCATCAATTGATCCATTGATTTGCACGAATCACTAACCATTGGTTTTCTCTCTCTCTCTCTCTCTCTCTCTCTCTCAAACTTCCAACAATTTATTATCAAATTAAATGCGAGTTTTTAATTGAATTTAATGATAAAAAAACATGTATTAATTGTTTTTGCTTTTTATAATTAACTTAAATAAATGAAACGATTTGTAGGTCTCTTTACATACACCCATACATACGGTCTATTGATTATCCAACTACAGTAATACCACGACAACCACTTCACCATCACTTGACTCACTCTCCCAGACAACAACCCCTTTACTTAACCATACAATACATTATTAACTATTATTAACTGATTATATCTAAAACATAAATAACATGTATAACACATCTCTCTATCCTCTTTCGGTATCGCGTTTTAATCAATCGATTAATTCAATTAATGCCTATATTTTGACGAAAATATTTTTGTTTTTATATTACTATTAATATATTATATAAGATGTAAGAGAAATGAAAAGTTTAATAATAAAAACAATTTTAAAACGTTTACAAAAAACATCAATTGTCCCCTTATTTTGTGTGATTAATACCAATTCCCATAATAATCGTTGATTTTGGTCACAATTTGTGTGATTTTATTATCAGGAATATTATATAATATCTGCTTATCGTTCATAAACCAAATCCATAACCAGTTTTCACATGTATTTACCTTTATTTTACCAGTTATTATGTAATCACATATACTTTCTGTCGTAATACCAAATGAATAGCCTTTTAATTGCTTTTTATATGTCTTTGTGCTATACATGTGATCAAAATGTGACAAAATTGTCATTCAATTTGATGCTATTTTTCAAACCACACATCATTCACATGTGATTCCTGCCTTTAAAAGCTAATTATAATTTCTTAGGGCTCTCTCTCTCTCTCTCTCTCTCTCTCTCTCTCTCATTAAAATTTTAACTGAAAATCAAAATTATTTTTAAAAAAACTTAATTAAAACCAATTTTTGATGACAAAAAACACGAATATAAGGAAAATGAAAATTATTTGCAAAAATAAAGCCATAAAATTCAATGTAATGAAGAATTTAAAGGAAAAATCATTATTAATTTAAAGTTATTAAAGAAATATTTAATAAATTAATGAATAGTTAACAAAAAAAGTTTGTCGGTAAAAAATAAAACTATTGTTTCATTGAGCAGCATGGTCATTTTGTGGTCATTTTGTACATATCTGTTCAGTCTATCTATAACTCACAATTATGTTTAATTTTAGTTAAAAATGTTAAAAATTAAAGTTTTATAAATTAAATTATGTTATCAAAAAATCTAGATAATTCACAGATTATGCAAAAAAGTGTTTATTTCACTATAAAACGTAATACACTAACCACTTATTATACTCATTACGGTATAAGCAGGTAAAATACTATAAAAACAACTCAATAAATTCAAACCAAGTAAAAAGCAACACATTTTCAATTCAAAAAATATCAATTTATTTATAGATTTGTTTTTAAAAATTTAAATTTAAAAAACGCGTCAATAAATTGTTTTGCGTTTAAAACAAACATCAAAACCCTTTAAGTCAATCGTCAGACCATTGGATCAAATGATAATCTCATGGATTTAGACCAAGAATTCGTGGATTATATAAAATATGAACAAAATTAGTTATAAATGAACGGAAAAACAAATCAAATACAGAGACTTATTATTATATCTTATAATGAAATTAAACACAAAAATAAAAATTAAACAAAAAAATGCAAAATAAGAGAAAAAATTAATCAAAAAAAATCAATCAATTCATGCGACAAAAGGGCTTTAAAAATGACATAAAAATACAGTTTTAAACGCAAATGTATAGACAACTGGTCACTCTATAAGTATTATAAATATTATAATAATAAAGGTATTCGTATCTCAACTATAAATAAATATTAAGAAAAATTAATATATATTTTTCGGGTGCCATAAGTGTTGGGCCCCCGAAAAACACACGTTAACAACACATATGTTATTATAATTTCTGTTTCGTTTTGCCATAAATTATAATTTCATTTATAATTATAATAATAATTCATAACTGAAATGAGATTAAGAAATAGATTTACATTTTATAATTGTTTCGACATTTTATGTGTAGTTTATTATTATTATTATTATTAACTCAAAAAATACCCCCAAAAACGGGTAATTACTAAACAAAACATTTGCTGTGTTTTTATGTGGCGTTTGCGATAGTGTCTGATGCGGGAACGGGAGGTACGGGTGTAGTACTAGTCGTAGTGGTAGTAGTGGTCGTCGTATTAGTATCGGTACTATCTTTGGTCGTTTGAGATGATGGCTGATCGCCGGTGACGGGCGTCGACTCGTCGCCAGACACGCCGTTGTCGGCGCTCTTGGGAACAGTTGGCTCCGCCTTAACCGACGACAACTCCTGGCCTTTTGCTTTGAGAGCCGTGTCGTCGACTACGGGCGCTATCGTGTCGGTGATTGGCTCGCTTTTGATCGCTTCCGCGACCGACTCCGAGTGACCATTGTTTGTCACTTCGGCGGCGGTCGCGCTGTCGCCGACCGGCGGAACAGCTGTGGCCGTAGAATCTGTGGTAATGTTGGTGATCGTGGCCTCAATACTCGCGGGCTCGGCCTTCACCGCCGCCGTCGACTCGCCAATCGGTTCCGCGGCGTTCGTATCACTGCTCTTGTCTTTGGAATCACTGGATTCGGTGCTATCGGCGCCCGTATTGTTCAACACCGACGGCGCGTCCGGTATGTCTGATGTCTGGCCATTAAAACAAAACAAAACATAAGTATTTGATCCCAAAAACTCGACAACAAATACCACACTTACGTCTGAGTTGTAGAAAAAGTCCTTAAACTTGTGGTACAAGTGGTCGGACTTCTGGCGCACCCTTTCGTCGGGCTTATATTTGCGGCACTTCTTCAGCGTCACGACCAACGCCTTCAACTGCGGTCCGTACGACTCGAGCCCATCGGGTGTCACCACAACCGTCTTCAAGCGCTCCATTGCCTCCAAACACTTGTCCACATTAGCCGAGTCGCGGGACAGCGAGTCCTGTATATCGGTGTTAATGTTGGTCAACATTTCGGCCACAGTTGGCGGCGGTTTGGGTGCGGCCGCAGCTGCCGGTGCGATGCCAGTAGTGGCGGCCGCCGACGACTTCTCGGCCTTCTCTTTGCGCTTCTGTTCCTTCTTCTCCTGTTTTCGTCTCTCCTTTTCCTTCTCCTTCTCTTGTAGTTTCTGTTGGATCTCTTTCTCCTTGTCTTTCGACTCCTGGAGCTTAAGCCGCAACTTCTCCACCACTTCCGGGTCTTCGGCCGCCGCTTCGGACCCGGACTCGGCCGCAGTGGACGCCTCCTTGTCCTTAGACTTGCCGCCAGACGACGACTCCTTCTCCTTTCGGTGCCGTTTTTTGGCCGCCGAAGAGGACTCGTGTTTGGCCGACGAGTGCTTCTCCTTCTTCGCCGGTTTCTCTTTCTTCCGTTTGCGGCTCTTTTTGGTCACAATCTCGTCGTCAGAGTCGTCGCCGTCGGACTCCTCCTTCACGGGCGGCGACTCTTCGGCGGCGATCGTCGGCTTCTTCTCGTCAGCGCTGGCAGTCTTGCTGTCGGCGCCGCTCTCCTCGTCGGCCTTATGGCCGCCATCCGAGTCGCTGCTGTCCTCAATGACGGCCCGCCGGCGTTTCGCTCGACCGCCAGACTTATCACTAGTGCTTGACTTGCGTTTAGCGCCGCCTTTCGATGGGGTCTTAGCCGCCGATTGCGTCTCCTTTTTGGACCCTTTCGACGACTTCTTGCCAGCGCTGGTCGACGGCTCGGCGGCCGTTACGGACGACTTCTTGACCGCCGCCGCTGTCGAGCCCTTCTTAGCCGACGCTCCCTTCGACCCTTTGCGGGGACTCTCGACGCGATCATCGATAATGAGTTTTTTGTCCTCGTCGTCGGTGTCTTCCGGCGCCGATGGCATCGCCTCATCGGTCGGCGCCATCGTCTCCGCCTCCGCAGCGCCAACAGTCGTCTCATTAGTTTTGTTCAAATCCTGTCCGTTAGACACCGATATGTCGGCCGCGTTGGCCATCGTGTCGGCCGCCGCCATCGACGTGTCGGATATGGTTGAGCCGGCAGTGGCCGCAGTGGTGTCCATATCGATATCGACGTCGTCGGCGGCGCTACCACTAGCCTCCTCTCCCTCCTCCTGGCCGTCATCGTCGGCCGCCGGCGGCAACTCGTCGGGCGCCGCCTCACCCACTGTCAGCTGCGGGTTGTTCTCGATCTCATCCAAGCCCTGGTTAAAAGTGGCCACTTTGCGTTTGATGCCCAGCTTGGGTTTGTGCTGTTCGTACGGGAACAGGTCCCGGGCGGCCACCACCGCACTGGTAGACAAAAAACACATCAAACAATTCATTATTTATTAGAACTCAATTAAAAGTATTAAAAACAATAATTAGTTTCAAAGGTTTGTATGAATTAATCGCTCAAAACATTTGAATAAAGTCTTAACAAATGTATTGTCGTTTACAACTCATTTACACTACCCGTCCGACGCCGGGCGCCCCTATTTCGCCACTCCCGGTGTGACCCGGGAATGGACGGGGGAAGGGGTGTCCAGGAACGGGTCGGGCGTGTAATCACTATCTGTGACATCACTCTCACGAGTGTCTCTCTCAAGCGAAACCGCTTTCAACACCACTATTGTTTGAGACAACCGTTTTCGAAGTGAAAATCACACACAAAAACCCGTAAATTATGGCCAAAACTATACGTACGACTCGTATGTGCCGAAGAAGAAGACCGGGTACTTCCCGGGGCCCGCCTTATAGCCAAACGGGGGCTCGTTCTCGATCTAATGGGAACAACAAACAAATAAAATACGTTAATATCAATGCAAATCATTAAAAAACACATGTTTTAACGCCGTAAACGGGAACGGGAGGGGTATGGATGGGGAACCCACACAACAAACACTAACTAAACCATAAATTAATACTAAATTAAAACTAATAGTTACGACAAACACAGGTATACACAGACAGTCAACGCCCGGGAGGGCACACACGGGGGGTACAAATCAGTGACATATAAACACTATTAACGGGTTGTCAGTCGGGGGTATCGGGGGGTCAGACCCCGCGGCGGGTGCGGGCGTTGCATAAGCCACATATACTAACCCGTGCGGGCCAGGGCGGGTAGCCCTTGACCTTGGCGAACACCAAATCGCCCACGCTGTATTTGATCACCGGTTTCGGTGGCATCGCGAATAACGGGGCGGTACGGGTCGGGTGCAGTCAGTGGTCACAAACACTAAACACGTGCGGCGATTGCGATAATAAACGCAACGTTTTTGAATGCCTTGTTTTGCGGCACTTTTTTCTTGAGTAACTTCTGAGACAACACTTCCCGAAACTGACGGCACGAATGGGTTGTTTAGATCATAACCAGTGAAACGGGGTTTTCCGCACCCGAAGTGTTGGACACTATTTGATTGAAACACACGTTTCACGCGAGAACTGAACTGAAAGTGAGTTTTTTATTACTGTTTTTGTTATGATTTTGAATGTGTTGTCAATCCGTACGCGATTTGCTTCCCATTGGGTTTCATGAGCGCCGCTCGCATACAACGTTACGCATAGTCACACACAACCCAACCCTCAGATTGAACAAATAAATCTATATAAATGTGATAAATTGAAATATGCTAAAATATTTACTTAAATATATTAGAGAGATAATTATTTTACGACCTTAATTGGTTATGTTTATATTTTATCATGTACATTTAACATTTTTATATGAATTATTAATGCTATATAATTCCCACCCCATTTAGACAATAGCACGTTGTTTTTGACGGACATTACAAACACCATTTCAACTGAAAAGTCCGGCACTCGACTCGAGCGCACTCTTGTGCACAATCTATACATAAATAATGTCTAATAAATATATATTAAACGTTAATAAGTTTATTTCATAGACTTATTTCAATTAATTTATAATTGAATTAAATTAAATCTCACTTAAAACTTAATATCAATTATTTATTTATTAAAAAAAATACACATTCAATGAACTGAATGATTGCATTATAAACAGAGCATTGCTTAACAAACAACATTGTATTTTAATTAAACAAAAAACAAAAAATATATAAATAGAAAAAGTGTTAACCCAACAACTAATTACAATTGTATATAGATATTTAAAGGAATTGCATCTTGATCAATAAACACAGGCCACACATCATGATCATGATTATCGTTGGGGTGATTTCTCGTTGATGCAAATGTCGCTTACATAGGGGTTGAGAAAAGATAAGGGACTGTCGGGACAGAGTAACTGTTTAAGGCCGGGCATACGGAACGGGGCTGAGCCGCCAATGCCCAACCGAAGAATGCCCAGATTGATCCCAGGTGTATCGCCTATGACCTGATAAATACGCTGAACTACATTGAGTTTTTCGCTGTAGGTCAATGGTTTGGTGGTGGTTGTGGGCCGTGGGGTGGATGTGGTCGACGGGGTGGGTGTGGGCGTCGACGGCATACCCCGTGTCGCGTCCTCAGCGTCGGTAGGGAACGGTGTGCCGGTTGACGCCCGAGCTCTGGGCACCACTTGCTGGACAGGTTCGGCCACATCTGCCTCGTCCTGGCATCGCGACGGCCACTGAACGTGTATAAACACTAACGCGTATAGCCATACGTGGTATTTAAATGTGCGTTGATTTAGCATTTTGTTTAGTTATTTAGTTATTTATAACCGACATTTGTCTCGCAACACACATATAGTGATAGAAATCCCTTATGGTAATTATATTATTGTGAAATTTAATTATTTTATTAATTATTTTGTATACATTTTGAAACGTACAGTACATGTACATGATGCTAGATTTAATAAATTATATATTTTTTTTATTAAGCATGAAATAATAAATACAATAGACTTAACGATAATCTTATTAAGTCATTGAACAGTTAATTAAAAATATAACAGGTAGACAGACTTATCTGACAGGCAGACAGGCATAATTACTATTAGGGATGAAATTGTTTTTAATTAAACGTGGTTATTAAATTATCAATGTATTTTTAACCATAATTTATATTTAACTGTTTGTACAGTATAATTGTTGACAAAGAATATGCGCAAAAATAATAATCACTCTCTCTCTCTCTCTAAAATATTTTACATTTTGCTAATTTACGTGTTATAGTTATAAAAAATGTATTTATACTTTTGTAACATGTCGCTGTAATTGCAAAAATTTAAATTATTTATGATTTATTTAAATTCCTAATTCTTTATTAATTAGTAAATGTTATATATTTTGCATTCAATTACATGTGAAATACTACACTATTTACACAAAATAGTTATAAAAATACTATAAAATAATAATAGCAATGTAAATTAAACATATTAATTATATTCTGTATAAATATAATGTGGTATCTTGAAAAATTGACATTATTAAAACAATGATTTAAAATTAATTTTTAAAATCCTAAATTTATAACTATTCAAGTTAAAGATCCTATTTATTACAAATTACGGGTCAATACAAATTAAATACGATATTACAATTTAAATTGTAACACAGTATCTATGAAAATAATAATTAATTGATATAACATATAAATATTTGCAGGTATATCCATAACTATGTACAACAATATCAAATTAATCCAATTGAACATGAGCCAACATTTACATTTACAAAAAAACTCATTTATATTATTAAAACAAAACACAATTATTGCTATTACTCTACAAAATAACACTTTTAATTCAAAGTAAAAATTATAACTAAAATAAATGCTAACTTTTATAAGAAGACACACCGAGTTTAAACACTGGGTATACTTTGCCGTATCGGTGATACTGGTGGTGGCGTTTGTCATATATCTAAGCCATGTCTACACCGATGATGAGCCCAACAATGTATACTACTTGAGCACCAGCACCGGCAACAACACTTCCCAGTACACCATAACCAACTTGACAGGTAAACTATACATATAACTTAACCTTATTAACTCGTTACATGTTCTCCAGGTCCAGGTGCTCAGGAGACTGAGCAAACAGGACTACTACCTAGTTATTACATCGCTTCAATCGTGGTAAATCGGGCTCACATTAACCGCATTATAACACAAAGTCTCGTCACAAATGAGACCGATTACAGTATAGACTTTCCCGACTTTGGTCCCGACCACGAGAACACCGGCGATACCATTACATCAGCCTATGTGGAGGTGTCGGTGGACAACGAGGTCAGGGGTCGTACGCCCGACCGGTCCGACACGTGGGAACCGGTCTGGGATTATAAGGCGGCCGATGGCGTCAATGTGACCATTAATAGTGTTGTTGAGCTAACTCTATACTACTCTATGGGTCCGATGTCTGAGCAAATTGATCACGTGGTTGTGCCCGTACGCCAATTGGTGATCAGGGGCTCAAATGGCCGTTCAGAGAGGGGTAGGTTTGTGGGAGGATGGCTTATGTTTACAGTGAGCTGGCGGGAGGTTTTTATCTCGTAATTTTATTGAAATAATTGTGGTAATTAATAGTTTTGGTTTATTGTAGTTAATTTAAGTTATAGTATTAGATGTAGCCTAATAGTTTATAACCCGGTTGTATTTGCATTGTATTTAAACAATAGTTTTTATAAATAATAACAAATATAATAAAATTTTAAAATTTACTCAAAAACTGTTGAAACAATTGTCACAAAAAAGCTGTTGAAAACACAGACCCAGACATAAATAGTTGGCACACGAGGTAAATATGGCCACATCTTTAGACACAGGACAGCAGTTAACGGGGGCTGAACTCCAGGCGCTAAACGGGTCGGGCGTGGGCTCTGTCGGGCGCACTGAGTTTCACAAGGAATTAGGCGCCGGCAGATACAGCACCGTATGGCTGGTGGAGGGCACCGACAAGTGGGGCCGTAAAGAGCGCATGGCCTGCAAAGTGAGGCGGTATAGTGACCGCCCGCTAGTCATGCTAACATTGACCGACTATAACGGGTTAGTCCAACAGTTGGGCTCACATCCAAACCTCGTCCATACGATAGACATTGTGGATCTGCCCGACCTGTCGATAGCCTTAGACTTTGCCGTGCGCTACGAGTTCACTGAGCTCTGCGACGGTGACCTACAGCGGGAGTTGGAGAACACCCGACGTACGAGTGATGCTAAATTTATATACAAGTACGGTATACCGGAGACGGGAGTGATTGAATGGGTGCGCCAGATCGCCGGTGCCATCCGTTTCCTACACGTCGAGCAACGTATGGCACATCTGGACGTCAAACCGCGCAATATTATGTACGTCGCGGCGCCGGACGGCCTGACCCGGGCGTACAAACTCCGGGACTTTGAGTCGGCCGAATCGTTTCCGGCCAATCGCACAGATGTCCAGATATTGGGCTACAAACCATATACGGCCTCCGCCGAGTGGGCGGCACCGGAGGCACTGGCAAACCGCCATTACTGGGCCACACCGTGCGATGTGTACTCATTGGGGGCGTCGATAGCGCACTCATTGTTGGGTTGGGTCCGGTATAAACAGGCGGTCGTCCCAAAACAGTTGTTGTTGGAGTTGTTTCGTAAAGTGAGAGCCGGTAAGGGCACCACATATGCGAACCCGATCAGCCCCGGTATGGGTCAACTCGTTGAGCTTATGCTAGAAGTGGACACTAAACTGCGGCCAACCATTCAGGAAGTTTGCGACAGTCCGGCGCTGACCAATCCGATCGGTATCCGCGCCCCGAACCCGACTGTAGTCGACACCTATAAACTCCCGATCCTTCCGACCCCACCCACGACTGCCCCCAAAAAGAAACCAAAACCAAAGATACCTCAACTCTAGTATTGATTATCAAATGAATGAAATAAATATATTTGGGATTAGCTTATTGTTTTTGTTTTATATATATGTTTTTTAAGTTACATAATATTGTATTTGTTCATGTGGTAAGTAGGGTTGCCGTGAGTGTACCAAAATCAAGGATCTCACCTTGTTATGGGTTGCGCTTACACACAATATGTGTTTACATTAATGAAAATATTTATGACAAATTTAAACTTTTGTGTTAAGCTAATTTTAAGTAAAGTAAACTTTTTTACATGTTTATGCTTTTTACATTTTTATGTTAAGAAAAATAAACATGAAAGTAATTATTGTATTTAATTTATTCTTGCTAAACTATTATAATTATGTTTAAAATATTACTGTATAACAAAAAATAAATATAAATAAACAATATTTCAAACATTTATCAAAATCTGCGAAAACAATTGTTAGCAAGAAATAAAAAACACTTTAAATAAAAATATTATAAAAACAAAAACTACTGAAAACAACACTCAAAACATTGCAAACGAGCTAAATATGGCCACAAATCAAGCTACAGGTGCCGGACAGGCATTATCGCAGACTGAGCTCCAGTACGTACAGGGGCAAGCGGTGGGCTCTATCGGGTCAATTGTATTTGGCCAAAAGCTAGGCGCGGGTACATTTGGCACGGTATGGCAAGTGACGGGCACCGACCGGTTGGGCCGCACCCGGCATTTAGCCTGCAAAGTGAGCCGTTTTGACGGCCGCAACACCGCCGCCGCCAAAGAAGTGATCACAGCGGACACACAGGGGCTTCAGCGGCAGCCCCGGCATCCAAACATTGTCCAAACGGTGCACATCGCGGACATACCTGGCAGAGGCTCACTCACTCATTGCCTGTTCACAGAGTTGTGCTCCGGGAGTCTATCCGATGAGCTCTGGGCTAATCATAATGATAAAGGTATGCCTGAGGAACAGGTGCGCGAGTGGTCGCGCGATATCGCCCGCGCTCTTCATTACCTGCACCGGGACAGCCGTATGGCACACCTGGCCGTCAATCCCGGCAACATTATGTACATCCGGGCGCCGGCCGGTCAGCGATCGACGTACAAACTGCGAGATTTCTCGCTGGCCGTGCAATTCCCAGCCAACAGCGACGACGCTTCAGTAGAGGCCAGGGATGTGTTGGCCCGCGTGCGGCCTGAATGGGCGGCGCCGGAGTTGGAGTCGGGCCGCCAGTGTTTGGCCACACCGTGCGATGTGTACGGATTGGGCGCCGCGATGGTCAACGCGCTCATGGGTCGTGTCTCGCATATGACGGCCAGTAAAGTATCCAAAGAACATGTCCTGACCATGTTTGAGCGCGTGTGCAAACCCAGTCGTAACCATAAGTACGACATCAGCCCCGATATGGCCAGTTTGGTGACCAGTATGCTGCGCGATAGGCCCAGGCAACGGCCCGACATTCACGCCGTTTACTACGGTCCGGTGTACACGGGTCCGGACGCTTGGAATGGAGCTCAGCCCACCGGACCTGTGCCCGTACAACCTGTGGACACTGGCGTCGGTGCTGTCAGTCCCGTCAGAGGAGCTGTGGGTCCGCCCATTAGACCTGTGGCGCCGGTTGTAAGACCTGTGGACACAGCCGTAAGTCCCGTCAGAGGAGCTGTTGGTGGAGCAGACATAGGAGCTGTTGGACCGGCAGTCCATCCTGTGGATCCTCGAGTAACAAAACCCAAAAAGGTGGTGACCTGGGCCGACATACAAGTGCCCGCAGTGCCGCCCCCCACAATACGGCCCCCCAGACAACCGGCCCCCACACCCGTAGTGATACCCAACTTGGACTGGTCTAACATACCAGTCCCCAGACAACCGGCACCCGGAATACCCGCCCAAACGAGTGGCTACGAAGTGGCTGAGGATCACCGGCAAAGACTGATCGCACACACGGCCAGAGAAGAAGCCATACCAGAGCACGAGGCGCCGTACGGCCGGGCTATGGGTCGCGACCCACAGCAATATAGAGACAGCAGACGGGGATACCCGTCCACAGCCCGGGAAAGTCAGCGACCCATTCAGGGACCGCCCGATTGGCCACAGATATGGCGCACACACGCGGACACAGGCGTTGTCGCGACCCACAGCAATATAGAGACAGCAGACGGGGATACCCGTCCACAGCCCGGGAAAGTCAGCGACCCATTCAGGGACCGCCCGATTGGCCACAGATATGGCGCACACACGCGGACACAGGCGTCGAACGGGTGGTGTCTATGAGTGAATTTGAGCCGTTCACTCGGGAAGACCTTCAGTATTTGGAGAGAGTGGGCGTGGGCTCTGTCGGGCGACTAATATGGGGCGGCGATTATCCGCGCCCAGTGTCCACCGGCCGTTTTGGCACCGTATGGCGCGTGAAGGGCGTCAACGGGTGGGGACGCACTCAAGTGATGGCCTGTCGGGCCATACGTTTCGCCACAAAAGGCAATACCGTTCAGGAAAGTGTGCGACACTTGATGGCCGAGACCTGTGCGCTGCACTCCATCGCCAGCCATCCAAACATTGTCGATACGGTGGACATCGTCGCCATACCTGACTCGCAGACCGGGTTTCCCTATGGGATGCTCTGCGTGTTCACCGAGTGGTGCGACGGCAACCTTTTAGAAGCCATTGCCGACTACCGGAACGGTGTGCCCGAGCAAAAGGTGCTTCAGTGTGCGCGGGATGTCGTCCGCGGCCTCTACTATCTGCACGTCAAGCAACACATAGCGCATCTGGACGTAAGGCCGGCCAATATTATGTACAAACTGGGCGCTGATGGGCTGACCATTGCGTGGAAACTGCGAGACTTTGCCGCAGCCGTGCAATACCCGTCGCGCTTAACGACGTGGGGACTTAGGCGAGGCGAAGTAGACATCGACGGCCCCATCAATCTGTCCCGCGGGTCGCTCATGTGGATGGCGCCCGAGTTGCGGGGTATGGTTGCCGGCGGTGTGGGCGGCAGGCTATTCCCCGCGGCGTGCGATGTGTACTCTGTCGGGCGGGTAATGGTTCACTGCCTGCTGGGGCCCCGGGAATGGGCGGTCACGGGCGCTGAACCGCTAGAAGTGATGCGAGTGTTTGAGGGGTTGGCGAAGGGGCAGCCCATCTGGCCCCGGAACCCTGTCAGCGCCGGCACAGCCCGACTGATCACAAGTATGTTACCGTCAGAACCCCTGCAGAGGGCCAACATTCAAGATATTTATCAAGCGTTACGGTGAGTCTCACACCGCCCCCGCCCCCAGTGCCAAACCCCTAGTGTTTATTAGTTATCATGGGGCAAAAAATAAATAGTATTATTTAGATTACAATTTGTTTGTTATTTAGTTTGATTTGAGATGAAATATTGATAACAGAATTATTTATTCACAGATTTATTACATGATTAGTGATTAACATATAATTAGATTTATAAATGTGTTAATAAATGCATGTTTACATGTCAGGTAAAATAATTATTTTTCTAATAATCTTTAATAATTACAATTATTGTAATTGTTTGTTTTTGATTATCATACAGATTAATTGTTCAATATCTTTACAATCACCTGGTTAGTACACACCATGAACTACATTAAACGGTAATAATTTTAAAACTTACAAAGCTATTAATAATGTATTACATTAAAAGAAATTATTTTTAAAAATAATAACAAATATAATA